GTTGTCTGCATGTCTTTTGCAAACATTTTAACTTGCTTCAGGAGCTATGATTTCTTTCTAGTTTGTATTCATCAGTGCACTTTTCCCAGTTAAACAATATTCTTCAGAATCAGCCATATCATTAAAAAGGCACATTTTGTCTGCCAGAAGTCAGATTATTTCTTTCTTGCAAATTTATGTAAAAATACACTAAATGATACAAAGCTAAAACAGTTCTGACATTCAGAGTCATGTGACTCAGGTCAAATGATTATAACAATATTCAAGGTCTGATTTGATATGAAAAATATTTATGATAACCATCTTTCTATATTTCAGAAAATCATAGTCAGTCAGACTTAAGGGAAAAGTCTATAATAATGAGCTTCCTCCAATTCCATGAAACAACAGGAACTACTATTAGTACTACATTGTTTTATTTATTATATGTATTTATTTATTATATGTATTTATTTATGACACAGAAAACATGATGCTAGTTAGGAATGCTTTCTGTGCTTGTTAACTTGGCACAATGAAAAATTCAAATTAGGTCAAATTTACTAGGTGGTTTTCCTAAAGATTCATAGTGATATCTTTAATGCATCCATCCATCCATCCATCCATCCATCCATCCATCCATCCACACACAGACAGACAGACAGACATACATACATACATACACACACACACACACACACACACACATACATACATACATACATACATACATACATACATACATACATACATACATACATACATACATACATACATACATACATACATACATACATACATACATACATACATACATACATACATATTATATTTACCAAGTGTCATGGACAGATTGAAGGAATATGGAGTTTTGATCCAGATACTGAAGTTTGGATCAGACATCTTATTTATTGACTAATGGACAAAAAAAAAGCAAATTTTAAAACAGAATAGTTGCTTATATGTAAAGGTGCATCTACATCACTCGTCTAAAAAGTATGCAAATGTAAATGTTTGCTATCGAGATGTGACTGATTGACTTACAACATAAGTGCAAAGAGACCAAAATTTTATAACTTGAAATGGTAGAATTATGAATAGCAAAACTTCATTGTCACTACTAGTCTAAGTATACCAAGACTTTAATGAGACATTTAAAGCTCTTTTGGCATTTTGGACAAAAATAAATGTGGGGATGAGCAATGACAGGATTGTCAGGAAAAAAACATTAAAACTATTTCACGATAGTGAAAACCAAAAATACATTTTGACCATCAGTTTCAAATGTTAACTTTGTGTTGTATCAATATCTTGAATGGTTTTGAAATTCATCTTTACCAGTAGTCTAACATTTTTGCTTAGTGTTGTAAATACACATTAAATGGTTTTTGAGTTATGCTCCAGAAATGATGAGTTATATTATGATGGATGGATAGAAACCATTTCCATATACCTTGCTAACTTCTTTGGCTGAGGAATCAAAATAAAAGCTCATCATACAACTGTCATATATAATTAGTACCTTAGTAAATCTCTTCACTTTTAGTTAAGTTTTGGAAATTTTTATATATTTAACATTACAAAGAACTTTATTTAAAAATTAAGTTTACAAAACTGTTATTAATTTTCTAAAGAAGCTTTGAAGTGACATATTCCCACAACATACTAAGGAAATTGTCTCCTCCATTACATATCAAACATACTAAGGAAATTGTCTCCTCCATTACATATCAAACATACTAAGGAAATTGTCTCCTCCATTACATATCAAACATACTAAGGAAATTGTCTCCTCCATTACATATCAAACATACTAAGGAAATTGTCTCCTCCATTAAATATCAAACATACTAAGGAAATTGTCTCCTCCATTTTAGTGAGACATTCTCAGTCTTCCAATATTTATTACCTGTATATCCACCTGCCCTGATGGCCTGGCCCTAATTAACAAATGCTCTAAGTTCCACCCTTACATTATTTATTTATATTTTATAACTTATTCTATTGAACAATGATTCTAAAGATAATTCTTTATCCACTTTAAACTTTTAATGCAAGGGGAAGAACTCTATGCAACACAAAACCTATGCCTCTTATTACAAGTTACCTCATCACTTTACTCAAACAAGAAATCTGGACAAGTACAACAATTTCTTTGAAATTTCTTGTAATGCTATTCAATGCATAAGTTATAAAAAAAACTTTCAAGGTTTGGTATCTACATCCATATCTGATGGAACATCTGCATCAAATGTCCCAAACTGAATGGCCCCTATGCCAGACTACTTTGCATTAAACTTTGTCAGATTCTGTTTAGCAGTTTATTTTAGGTAAAGTGATTAAAGTGCTTTTCATCTTATACTAAATGGACAGACATATCTGATTGGCAAACAGCATCATCTTAAATGTAAATCATGATGTCCAAAAGCTGTGCAAATTCTTTCAATTGGTGTTTAAGTACAGTTGTCAAAGGTTGTATTTTTTAATTTCATGAATAAAGAGTTGTTGACTTAATCACTTTCAGCAACATGTTTCATTCATAAGAGTTTGAAGAGTTAAGTTAGTATGAGAAAGATCATGGATAAGACATTTTAATGGACTAAACAGAATAAAGGAGAAATATAGACCAACAAGTAGGTCTCTGCTTTTTTATATCTGATAGCAGCTGCTGTCAGATATTTAAAAAAAGCAGAGACCTACTTGTTGGTCTAAGGAGAAATACAGCTCAAGACATCTGCAAATGTGTGAGCTGCAAAGAGGTAATTTACAATATCTTTTGATATTGTAAGACATAAGTGATTTCCATGAAGTTATTTAGGAAATAAACAAGCATTATATTTCTGCATAATGTGTGAAGTATGTATATTTTAAGTAGAATCTGTTTTATGAATTTGGACTCAACAGGGCCTGTTTGAGTGCACTATAGCTACGATGTCGTAGCCTCCACTTGTTTTGTTGTGGTTGACGTGTCCACAAAAGGATTACAGTACTAATATTAGTACTAAGTGCACTAGTGCTTGATCCAACATATGTCTGCTCATTTAGAACAAACTGTAAGTTAAATTTTTATTACAGTAAATTACATATCAAGCGATATGCATTTATGACCACTGATTATATGCTGAACGCTTTGCTAATCCAATGAAATATATATTTTAAAAAAGCATACTAGATCATAAATAAAATGTATGTGGGAGGAAACAACCAAGCAGAATTTTCACGACCAAAAGAAGCATTTAGGCCGAATCGACCCGGGCCAATAGGATTCGGGCCGCATACGCTAGGGGTAATGACGCAGACAACACATAAATTAAATTCAACTTTAATTTCAAAATGCAACATATTTCTCTAGCGAAGTATATAAAGTGATAAGAGTGAAAATATCTATACAAATCGGCAATAATCAATCACTGAATCAGTCATAGGAGTCTGAAGTTTTATCAATAAAGTACAATAAAATCTCTAACACGAACTTACCTACCCGGTACCATCTCCTGTGCCGGTACCATAAATTAATGTGAATCAATCAAATCTGACGATGGTTCGTACAGTCGGTCAGTTCATAAGTCATTAAGTCAGTTCACAACATCACAGTTTTCTGTGTCACCTTTAGGAAAATTATACTAATTTTGCATGGATTTCGCATTTTCTTCTATTGATTATATTTACGATCTCGCGCTTTTTAGTCATCGTCCAATTTTATGACCACACTTCCCATTTTTCTTCATCACCTTACAGTATTCTACCGGTATTTATCAACAAGGATCTAAAAATAACCTGTTATTCGGTATAAATCTGCATTGAACGTTGATTCAACCTACAAGATTCTACCAATGGATTGGCCATTTTCGCTGGGGTTTTTTTTGTTTTTTGTTTTTTGTTGTTTTTTTTTTGTTTTGTTTTTGTTGTTTTGGTTTGTTTTTTTTTTGTTTGTTTGTTTTTTTGGAGGGTGGGGTTGGTGTTGTTTGTTGTTTTGTTTTGAGGGTTGGGGGGTCCACTTTTGGTGACAAAATTGCCATGTCCGTTAATAGTAGGCCTACCAGACTTTATTTTTACATGGGTTATGTATGCGCATTTGCTCCTTTTAAATTAAATATATATCGTTCTTTTAAAACTTAACGTTCATTTTTTTAATCAAAGTCTATTCAGTTCTGATTATTGAATGATATGCACCTAAAGTATATCCAAGAAACTTCCAGAAGAAAATATTCACTGGCTATGGACTTTTACAATGGTGGCTATGTGCTAAATTTGAGTCAAAATAAAGAGCTCGTCGAGTGCAATTGAGGTTAGTACGAGTTTGTTTATCAATGTGACACCACAGCGTGCGACATTTAATCCGGATTGTATTGGATCATAGGTTATTTTCGTCCAAAAATGTCTACGTACTTTAACATTAATTTTGCCGTATCGACGTCTTTTAATTATGATATTCCAAAGGAATATGGATGTATAAGAATCCAAATTAAGTGAATACTTGCGACTTAAAGATATGTAGAATAAAAAAAAAATTAAAAAAAAAGACACCCATTGCTGAATTAATCAGTGTTCAATGCCTACATGGCCCGTGTGACTCGTTCATGCTCAATACTCCGATTATCGGCACCGTTATTTATGGGCATGTAACACGTACCCATTTGGGCCACGAGATTTCACTGCATCTTTTTGGGTTCCGTGTCGTGGCATGTATTTTTCTTCTTTTTTTCAGTAAATTCTGGCAGTAGGCAGTGGATGGGATCTACAAATACATAAGGGCCTGGAGGGGGGAGGCGGAGAATGACATTGTTTTATTTCCTTTGAATTATCAAACTATATATATATATATATATATATATATATATATATATATATATATATATATATATATATATATATATATATATATATATATAACTGTTATAGCATGATGTCCCACCCAGTCACATTATCCTGACTCAAGGCCGACCAGTCCTAACACTAACCTCTTAATGCTGAGCGCCAAGCGAGGAAGCTGTTAGTACCATTTTTGTAAGTCCTTGGTATGACTCGACCCGGGATCGATTTCATGACCTCCCGCATTCGAAGCGGAAGCTCTAACCACTAGGCCACCGGAGCGGTTATAAAATAATATAAAAGTATTCATATCTAATTGTACACAGTGGATATAATTTTTTTTTAAAAAATTATTAATGAATGTCGTATAGTGTTTTTGAATTTAGACCATTTGGATATACCGTATTAGGAATGTGTATCCAATAGATTTCAGTTAGCAGACTGTACAGGTTGCCTCCACTGTGAGATTTTGGTTGTGTTCGTTTGGGGGTTGGGTGCTTTCAATATTTATATAAATTATTGTAGAAGTCATGCCCAGGATCGATTGTGGTTTTGGAAGTTAATTTAGTGAAAGTTAGATGTACAGCTCTGAGCCCCCAATCACAATGCCGACGGTTAAATGATTAAAGATATCAAAAGGGTGAAGTTCAATAATAACAATTTAATAACAATTAAATGATCAATAATTCGAATTTCCAAAATGCACTTCTTTCGCTCGATCCTTTACTAGCCTATCGCATTATTTGATTCATAGTGTGAGAGATTTACACATGTCCTTGTGTTCTTCTCATCTGTGTATTGCTCTCTATCTCCTAATTCCATTTCTACCTCCCTGACTCCCTCCAAGTTCCTTCTCCTCCTATATTTCCTTCTCCAGACTGCTTTCCTCCTCCTTCACCTTCTATCCCACTTATCTACGTCGACTACACTTTGTCGACTCCGACTGCACTGTCAGTCTCACTTCCATCTCCCTCTTAGAAACTCGGGGCTACGAAATTTGCACCGGACATTCTGTCTCCCGAAAAGCTTTCTGTGAAAACACAAGGATGGTACAATATTTTCTTCAGCGCTAATACCTCACACTACACACGGCCAATCATCATATAACGACAATTATATTTCACCGGTCACGCATTCTTTCACACAGAAATACGTATACATTCTTGTATAGTAAAACACAACACCATAACATGACATAATAAAAGCACGGTATTAATTACTCTTATACATACAACAATAAACTGATACACATCAGTACGTACTCATAATTCAATTACACAAACCAATAAACAACAACCAGACGCATATCTTTACATCACAACTCATACCAAATATACAAATATTCAAAACCGTTCTCTGATATATTCACACATCTATTGTAACTAATCTTACATACATCAATCATTTTGTTAAACTCCAATTCAAACATGTGTAAACTCTAACATAACGCATTACAAAATGTACTGGTTTTTACGAAATAACCTACCAGCGAATTACAATATTAACTCTGACAAGCTAGCAATCTATAAAATTCTCTACGTAAACTCAAATTCATTTCTTAAATACGCTTATAAATGAAACACTAAAAGGTAATTATACATAATTTAAAAAATCCCAGTAATTAAGTATGCATACTACCAATAATTACAATTATGACGCCGTAATGTTTTGCAAAAATCGAGCAAATAACTTACTGACCTTTTCGAAGCTTTCCCAGCATAATTACAAGTGGGTTTCTCGGTGTATCCTTCCGCTTAAAACCGTTAGACCTACTGAACATTTCACCGCAAGTTTTTAATTATGATTCGTATATAAGATTTAATCCCACCCTCTTTCTTGATTCCGATTGGATGTCGCGATGGACTGTCCCAATAAAACTTATGGATAATGTGTTCTTCCTGGTCTGTCTACGTGGTGGGTGAGAACACGCCCCGTTCACCCTGCGGGCTTCATTTTTATCTCTGAACCAAGGAAGGTATGAGGACTAAAAGCTTTTTACTAGCGGCTATTTTATAGTCTGAGTGGCTGGCACCTTGCATAAGGATTAACACTGGCCTGCGGTGTTGTTTACACCTCAAACGCAGTAATAATACCCAAGTTTATATATTTCCGGATAGCCTGGACTGAGCAAACGTGAATAAGAAAATGTAAATATATGATAAGTTGCAACATCATCATCATTGTCATCATCGTCAATGGTTTTGTGATTAATGCCAAAAATAAATAACATTCAAATAAAATGAATACGTGTTCTGTCGTTAAAAAATGATGATGATGATGATGATGATGATGATGATGATGATGATGATGATGATGATGATGGGAACTGTGTTAGAGCTCTAATAAACAGCATGCTCAGATTTGTACAGATTACTGATTGAAACAAGTTATAAACTGTAACTGAATGAAACAAATTTAAACTACAACTACTATTGTAATGAAACGTTGCTCAATATTTTTTTTATATTTCTTTGTAATTTTTTTTTACTTTAAATAATATTACAAAATGTATACGTGGCTAGAATTATACTGTTGTTAATTTTTTTTTTCATTACATTCGATATAATTACCGAGAGCGAATCATATTTAAAATGGATGCCCTATCGCCATTAAATCGACGCGTCTACAATCTGACGATCTGCTATCCATCACCCTTATACCTAACGGCATGGCGGACAAGTATACACGGTATGAGTCAAACAAGATAGTTTGTAACATTTGGCCATTTTAGGACTCACTGTACTAATTCAGCTCCGATTGTAAACCGTGATATTAAGTTAACGACCTTACGTTTTTGAATCATTATATTTATTGGTATAGACACATCTTTGATGCAATCTTTTAAGTAGAGTAAACCATATGAGCCGCATACGTGTTTTTTTTAAACGTGTTTTCAGTTCGCAAAAAATAGTCATGTGCTAACTTCATTAATGAATTTGTCAAATATTCACGAACTGCAATTTGTATTATTATCGGGATACGGGATATGCAAACACTGCCTGCTCACTGTGACAACTGGGGAAAGTATAGGCCGATTCATTTTGTCTTGTGCTTATCCAGTGGAAATATCGCCACTGATCCATATATTACATCCAGTATTGTCCGCACCTAGTATATGGCACGGTCTATGTCATAAATTAAAAGCCGTACTTTAAGCGATCAATACTTTCTTTTATTAATTTCCCCCAAAAAGACCTGTATCTGTAATGAGCAATGTAACATTTAGGTGAATGATAAATTTACTTGAATGGAGCCCAAGCCGAAATAGTGATAACAGTACATTTCATGGGTAATAATATTGGCGGGCACCTGCTATCTCATTCACTACTTGCTTACATAGTATAATGCAAACACAATCTGACATCTTAAGTGACAATAGTGTATTGGCCAACACCATGGGAACGACTGCCTGCTGCCTGCTGCCTGCTAGTATTGTGATAATCTGACTCCGTCAATCGTTGTTTGTTGTTGTATTGGTATTCTTTGTTCAGTGATTTCTAGGCAGGCCAAGAAATATAAACAAAACTTATCTAATTCCACTTTGAGATAACGACAGCCACCAAAGTTTTTCGGTCACATTAAGCCAGAAAATAATTACGTTCAGACAACGGTTCAATTCGAAAAAAATCTAAAATTGTAACCCGATATTATCGAGTGAAACTTTCTTAATAGCTAAAGTCAGTGTGACTAACCGAACATATTTAGTGACTGGTCGACAAAATGAAATACAAACAAAAGACTGAAAGAATTTTGTATTGATCATTCTAGACGTTGTCTTGATAAAGAGTATTTGTATAATTCCATCGGTTAAATACAGTTAATTCATTGGCCTTACCAGTTCCCAAGCAAAAGGGTAAAATAAAATCCCTCCTCCTTCTTTAATGCCCTTGCGATTGCCTTTGTAGGTTCTCTCAGCACCTGTCCTGATATAAAAACGCCTCTTTGAAGCGTGTTGTTATGCACGATCGGCAGTTTTATCGTTATTCTAATGCAATATTTATGTTGGTGTGCGCGAGTATGGTAAAAGACCTATGTCAATCACTGTTGGAGTGGGATGTCTTTTTTAAATAATGTTTTTTTTTATGTATGAATACTAAACCATTAACCATTTAAAACTTAAAAGTCAATATAGTGAAGCAACAAACGTGCTAATGTTAGGATGGAATTTTTCAGTAAATAAAGAGTAATGGGCGAAAAACCATCCGTTAAGCTATTTTGTCTTCTGTTTTTTTGTTTGTTTGTTTTATTTTTGTAGAACTAAAAATATTTACAAAGTTAGTGAGCTATTTAAGTTAGCATAAAGTTGCAGCAGCAATGTCTGGTATTATTAGCAGTCTGTTTCTTTCCTCACCGATCGCCTCGTGAAACTTCGTTAATTGCAGTGTTGAAATGAAGTGTAAACAAAGCATCTTGCAGAATCAGTTAGTTTACAGAGTAATACACAGAAGATCCTACAACATTATTACCAGCTATTGTTTGATTGTTCTAAGGTTTAAATGTCTTCACACAGTGATCAATCTTTTAACTTTTGTCTAAATCTTGTAATTGCTATGCGACCCCGGAACATCCAAGTTTATGATTGTTTTCTACACGCGTCCCGATGGCCCTTATATAATCAGGAAATGTATCAGTAACATGGCTATGTTCATCAACAATCCTTCTTAAAATACATCGCATTTCTACATGTTGTCTTTCTTTACGTTTTTTACTACTTTTACATGTGCTGGCACATCTTTCTCATCAGCCTTTGCAATATATTTCTTTCCTGGACTTGCATCAATTTAAAAAGATCACTAGATTTCCATAAATGGATTTTTCATCCGCTGATGAGACTCATTTTCATTGGCATTTTATTTCGTAATTAAAAGTTACCTTCACCGCCAACAGCATAGTCTGATTCCGCTTTTGAGCCTGTTAATTACGGCTGAATTTTTATCACTGTTTTCAGTATCGTGGTCTGGCTGTCCCAAATTCAGTAGCTCTTTTAAATTTTAAACAGTATCAGATACTACAAAAAGACCTTGTTGTGAAAAAAGTTTTAAACCAGTCTACATAGGATATAAATTACATCAGACCTTTTAAAAAGATTCAGTCAAGCTATTCCACGTCTGCTAATCCGTTGCTGTCTTTCATAAAATGCTTCTGCAAGAAGAATACTTTTTGTCTGTCACAGAATTAATTTCATCCACTGACAATGTTCTCCAATAATCAACAGTGCTTTTTCATCTACTGAGTCTTCTTCAATATTCATCAGTGTTTATTTCATCCACTTACAGCATTTT